AACTACTTTTGCACCAACCTAATAGTATTTGTCTTTCAGGTGTAACCATACATTATAATTACTGAGCACTGCAGACTTATGTCACAAAGTAGAGATCTAATAACTACACTGTGGCTTATTTTAATGAACCATTAATAGTCATATTTTGTTAAAAAGGGAAAATACAGGATAAATGTCAAAACAGTCAGAATGCCAGGACAACAGACATAAATGAGGACTGTCCTGAGCAAACCAGGGAAGAGCAGTACATATGTGGAAATAAGTAATTCTGTCTAGTAGTTCATTGCTACTAGAAGTAGCATTTAACCTAGGCCCAGGAAAATGACTAAAAATATACAAATTTTGAATGTAGGCACAAGGGTTTCAGGAATATGGAAGAGAGTTTGCAAAGCAGTAGAAATGTGCAATGATATTGTCCTTTCAGAACAATTTAATTAGACCTCTGGATGTATATAAATGAATAGTGAGGAGTGAAGCTGGCAGGCAGGTTGGAGCATATTCTGGAAGCTTTAAATATTATGCCAAAGTTTTGAGTTTAGATCTGTGTGGCCATTAAATAATTTTCAACGGAGAAGTGATGTCCAATTTTGTATTTCGGAAAGATCAATCAGGCAGAAATGTGGGGAAAAGTTTGGTTGGAGGGATAAAGAAGTGAGGGGCTAGTCGACTGTTGGAGCAGTGCAGGGAACAATAAGGATGAGAACAAAGGCAGGGGCACCAACCAATCAGTTAAAGCTGGGGAACTTCAACCTCTCATGGCTAAGGGATCTATCTGCTTGAGATTTTTTCAGCAATATTAGCTATGGGCCTCAGCGTTTTGTATTACCCAGCAGGGGAAGATTCTTAACAGAGAAGTCAAAGAGTGAAGAGCATAGAAAATGCTCTGTCAAAATCTACTATTCTGTGGGCAAATGACAGCATGATACCCAATGATATCCTCCCTGGGGAACTAAAGTGGAATGAGACAGGCAAATTAAAATGTAAGCAGAGGATATAGAAGCTGACTGCCGAGAAGTGAGGACAGCACATACGACAGCATGAAGTGGCAATGTTAGACTTAAGTAGCTCTGATTAAGCAAAAGTGCCTTGCAGACAATAACACCAAGAGATAAAGCAACAGACTCTACAAAGGATGAATGGATCATGAAATAAAAGTCATGAGGCTGCCGATAGTGGCTTGATGATTATAAAGTTGGTCTGTGACCCACATTTCTGTTAAATTCACTTTGCACCAAGTTTGGGGAAATACATATCACCTGTTATATTCATTGGTGAAGACTGTTCTGCTACTATTGCCTGATTTATTATTTTTAATTAATTATTTTGACTTTCAATGGACAGCTATTTGCTCAAAAGAAGAATGGAATTAAATTGTACTCATCGAGGAAGGGGGGCTCAAATAAGATCTGACAATTAAAATGACAATACTTCCTGATTGTGTAGGAGCATCCTGGTTTGTGCCTATTGTCGAGCTTAGTTTTTATTAGCACTTGCTTTTGATCTCTGAAATACCTTAAGTCTGGATAGTAAATTATATTATTACCCTGTACAAAATGTTTGTTCTATATAGACATTTTAAGAGACAAAGGTGTTCATGATATTAATATATTTGGGGGAGCAAAGGCATCGTAATTAAAATACCACTACCAGCCTGGCCAACATAGTGAGACCTCATCTCCACACACACACAAAAATAAAAATTAGTGAAGCGTGGTGCACACCTGTAGTCCTAGCTACACGGGGGCCTGAGGTAGGAAGATCGCTTGAGCTCAGGAGGTTGAGGTTGCAGTGAGCTGTGATTGTGCCGCTGCACTGCACCTTGGCTGATAGAGCAAGACCTTGTCTCAAACAAAAATAAACAAACAAACAAACAAAAAACAACCAAAAAACTTCTAGAACAATGAATTGCTACATTGTTTATACTGATCTTCATTTGGAGAAAAAGAAATACAACCAGTGGAAAGAGCATGAGCTAGAATAGTAAGAAAATACTCTACTGAAAAGGGATCTTGGCACAGAACCTGGAAGGATGAGCAGAATTTAAGCACAAGGGAGCAGAAGTAACACTAAAGCAAAAAGAAGGTTTGGTGATGGAAAGCAGCAGAGAGACAGAGAGAGAGACAGTTTGTGTGTGTGTGTGTGTGTGTGTGTGTGTGTGTGTGTGTATGAAATTAAGAGTTGCTTGAGTTAATGAAAACATGAGTTTGAGAATTAATTAGTGGTAAATATGTTTAATACCTGGTTCTTAATAGACTCTCCTAGGCTGAATGAGTGAAATGGATGAACATATGAAAGAGTGGGTAGGATGAAATACATTTATCTAGGGAAGAAGAATTTAGGTAAGGCACCGAAGTGGCAAACATGAACCCATGAGCCAAGTTTGACCCACAGTAGTTGTTTAGTGGCCTATAGTCCATTTACATTCTCTTTAATACTACTTGTATACTTTAGAACTAGATGACTTCAGATAAAATTTCTTATTTGAAATTCCACTTTAAAAATTTCCTGTCTTCCTACAGGGCAAAATGCCTACAGCCAGAGAGGGCATCTGTCCATTTCAAATGGGCATGTATGTACTCCAGCTTTCCCTCATTTCTTCTCACTTTTTCACTTATATTTCATCTCCTTTTTCAGATTGATACCTTTGATGTGGTGCTGGGAATGATAATCCGGAAACCAAACTGACTAAAATGTAGAACTCCATTGCAACTAATAATATATAACTGAAAACTTTCTATTCCCGCCGGCATATTAATGCATGTATCTAGAATAATAATACTGTAATAATAACTGCTAAGCATTTAGTATGTACAAAGCATGACATTAATCTCCTTTCAGACATATGAGTTTGAGTTATCACTCCAGGCATCTGCTAGTTGTATGATCTTGAACAAATTAACTGACTTTCTGAACATTAACATATTTCTTTGGGCAATGAGAATGATAACCATATCTTACATGGCTTTTGTGAGAATTAAATGAGATTATGTATATAAAGCATTTAACTTAATTCTTGGCACCCATCGAGACTTCATTCATGAAAAGAATATTTTCCCATTTGAAATCTGAACACTTGAAAAGCTATGTAAGCATATATTCTGGAAAAGATCTCTAACCAAGAGGCTAATTTTTCATTCACAATATAGTAATCATCAATGTAACTTTATTTCAATAGGTTGGTTCTAAGGCTCAGATCAAATTTCTATCCATCTTAAAAGAATCTTATGAAGGTAGAGTTATTAAAGTTCTAGTATGAAATATATTGTTTCCATAACTTTAATGTGCCCTACAAATATAATCAATATAAAAATGTACTGCTAATTTCACAGATTATCTACAATAAAAATTCCCAGAAATGCATGTAAAATAGCATGTTTCCACTTAACCAGATAAGATTGAGTGCAAAGTGTAAGTTGCATTTGTAAACACTGAGCCTGAGATACCTTTTCATATTACTGTATGCAGATATTTAATCGCAATAACAATTTAAGTGGAAAACACTATGTATTACTGATCTAAAGTAAAAGTAGGAATTGTTTGTTGCTAAACTAAAATAGAAATAACTAAAATTAAACCACCCACTTAAAAAATATAAACAGTAGAGATTAGAATATACAAATATGAAGAATATTTTATTGGTAAATATTTTCTAATTGGGAGAAATTTATATTCACCTATTATATGATTATTTTCTTACTTTATTCTCTTTTCTCAAAATACGTATTTAAAGTGCAATTTTAAAGATATTAACTTTTCAGTTTATACCTCCCTTTCACATGAGCTTGGGTCATATAGTACAAAATAATTCATTTGTGTTAATAGGTCAAATAACTGTTTTCCATAAACAAAAAGTCAGCTAAGAGAATTGTTTGACTGTATAATTGTTTACCTAAAATGGCATATTTTGTTGGCACTGATTTCAAAAGTCCTTCATGCTTTTAAAAATTATTTGTATTATTTATTTTCAAGACATTTCAATGTTACATTTATTTATGTAAAAATAATAGTTCATTAGGTAGCAGCTATCTACTCAATACCAAATACTGTGCACACATGATTCTGTTACATTTAATAACTTATTTATGAGATGAGCATTGTTATTCCTATGTCAATCAGAAAACCCAGTATTGGGTCACTAGGTAAGGTGCCGAAAATTAGCAGTTAGTAAGGAGCCAGAATTTGAATTCCAACACATTTGAAGAGTACTGGTTTGCACTCTCATAGTTGATCATAGAAACATTGATACATTTCTGTTAATAGGACTTTTTAAGACTATACAGATAAAAAATCTATTATATAATTTTCTCAAAGAGATAATGTGCATTAAAAAGTTAAAATAATATTTTAAAATTTTAAGATTGTATTCATTTTATCCATCAACTAAACTAACATTTCTTTTACAGAACACATATATTTAGTCACTTAGCAGTGCCATGAGAAGAAAAAAATTAACAAGACAAGAACACTGGTAATTACTTACAAGGAATGCTATTTCATTGTCATATTATTGTTATAGAAAATCTTTAATTTAAAAGCTGTCTGAAATATTTTGTCAAAGATATCTGTGAATATATAATTAAGATATTTAAAGAATAAAATAACAGTAAAAATGTAGGGTTGTATTTTTTTGTAATAGCAAGTATTCATTTCCTTCCTCATCTGCAAAACTTCACATTTTAAAACTTTCACTTTTACAGTATTTCCAGATTATAAGATTTTGTGATGTAATTTTTTTAGCTGAGTAATTTTAACACCACTTTTACTTTAAGAATAAATGGTTTTACAAGTGGAGAGAAGTCTCAATAATTAATATTCAGAATTAATTGTATTACCTTTTTCCCATGTATATTTTACCTTTGCTGCAGAGATACAGGAAGAGCAGAAGCATAAATATTTAAAATCATTAAAATTTTAAAGTTAAAAATTTGAACAGTAAAGTTAACATGACTATTTACATCACCTTCCTATTTTGCATTAAGAAACGTTTTGAAAGAACTTACTTGAAAACTGAATTGCAAATCCAGATTTGCTAATATAAAAATCCGTGTCAAACTGGATGGTTACTATGTTGAGGGTGCTATGAATTCCTTCAGGAATAAGAGATCCACTAATTTCCTTTAAAAGCATCTCATTTTCCGGTGGACCATCCCAGACTCGGAGTATATCATGTGATGCTTCCGTATCAAAAGCAAGAAACTGCAAGCTGTGGGAGAACCATATTTCTCTGTTTACTTTAAACAAGGATTCAATTTTAAATAAAAAATAGAGCAAATGTGCATTGTGCCTTTTATTAGATATTCTTTTTTGCTATGTGATAAAAATGAATTATGTAAACAGCATATATTCTTAATATATTTTTCTTGAGAAGTATACTTTGTTTCTTTAAAATATTATTAAATACACCATTACATCACCTTTGCAAATTGTAGAAACTTCAGGCGTACATTCTTTCTTGTGTTCATGAATTTGACCAGAGAAACAGCAGGGGACATTTATAGACAATCTTCTACATGTTAGGCACTGTGCAAAATGCATTACATATATTTTGTTTAATTGTTATAATGACCCAATGAAGTAGGAATAATTTTTATCTCGATTTTACAAATATGGCAAATAGAGTTTAGATAAATGAAATAATTGCCCAAAGAGTGGCATAATCACAAATTGAACTCAAGTTATCTGATTCTACAGTGCACACTTTTATCACAGTTCCATGTTAAATCTATTGTGTTTTATGTTTAATCTAGACAAAATTAGAATCGGGTACTTTTTGTGCTTGGTGCAAAATTTAGAAATCTAATTATATCAACATGCTCAACTCTACATACAATACATTTATGTTTGATACATGAATCATTACAGCTTTAAATTTGGGCTGCAATTTAATATCAAGCAATGTTTAATTTTTAGAAACTGCATAATTCTCTTGAATTTATTACTTTCAAGTTTAATAATTCTAATATTTATATAAAGCAAGGCATGACTTAGACTAAAGAAAAATAAACTGAGGATGATACAGTGTAGTATGTTTTGAGTTTGCACATTGCCTTGCAAAAGTAATGTACCAACTCATCCATCAATGCATAGGAGTGTACCACCTAGAAGCTTGTCTGAAGTTCCATTTTATATAAATAGAATTTATATTACTACTTTATGTAAGTGTAATTCTCAAGTTTTAAAGTTATTGTTTGTTGTTGAAAACACACTAAGTAGCTCATATGTCAAGGATGATTCTAGCCAAAGCTGCATTGCAAGGCTGGGACTGAGAGCCTGTGATAGCTATGAAAGTCAGACTGGTGTTGACTTCAGTTACTTATATCTAAAAGGCAGCAGCAATGTGAAGAACTCTGCAGAAAAGGGAAATCTAACATTATTACAGGGGCAGAGAGCAGGTGTTTCACAAATCTGTTTAGGGACAAGGACAACAGGAAATGGTATTCAGTCCCCTTCTATTCTTATTTCTCCTAATTGTTAATGAGGATGCACTAGGGTAATAATCTGCATAACTCTGTATATCAGTCAAAATGGGCCAGGAGTAGTGGCTCACACCTGTAATCCTAGCACTTTGGGAGGCAGGGGAATTGCTTGAGCTCAACATTCTGAGATCAGCCTGGTCAACATAGTAAGATCTCGTTTCTACAAAATACTTAAAAATTAGCCTAGCCTGGTAGCACATGACTGTATTCCCACCTACTGGGGAGGCTGGGGTGGGAAGATCATTTGAGCTAGGAGGAGGAGGTTGCAGTGAGCTACTGCCTTACAGTCTGGGTGACAGAGAGAGATTCTGCCTCAAGAAAAAAAAAAAAAAATGAAACAAATGGATATTAATTTTATATAGGGCTTGGTCAGGTACTACAGATGCCCTAGTAATGTTGAGAAAATGTAATTCATTTACCTGACAATATTTCCAGGATCTACCTCAATCATCCACATGCAACGCAGATTATTGTCATATGGAAAAGGATAGCCAGGAGATAAGATTCTTCCTGATGATTCTCCTTTAAAACGACCTCCACATTCAGCTGATAAAAAATAATAAAAATTTAAGCCACAATTTAATGCCAATCTTTTCAAAACAATTACAAATTTCTCATGAGTGTACAAAAGAATACTAATTTCCTTTCTTTAAAGTATATATTTGTATAAACTTTTAAAGTATTAATTGAAGCAAGAATATATAATGCAATCAAGTAATAATAGAGTCTCAAGTTAGATCACAGAAAAGATAATAAAACAGAAACCTACTTACACAATTTAAAAAAAGACACACTCAAAACCTCTGAGATAGGATTCCAAACATTTTAAGATGTGTTGTTAAATAACGATAATTTTAAAAGGGAAACAGATGGCAAGTCGCTCACTGCTAGCGAATTGCAGGCTGAATAATTCATCATCTTTCTACCCCACCTTTGAGAAAAACTAATCTTTACTGCAGTCCCTCAGGCCTTCTAAATTTCATTGTCCTTTTATTTCCCCTTTAAATCATTTTAAACCCTTTCCCTTTTACTTTACTCTCCCAAAAGTCAAAGTGACATTTTTTATTAGATTCCTTACTTTAGTAAAATCTAGTTAGGTTTTGATTTAATATGATCTCAAATTTTTATAAAAATTATGAAACTAAGAATGTAAGTATTATCATGCAATATAATTAAAATTTTATATTTTAGGGGATTCCTTCTCCATTTTAATACTATTAATACTATTGTGATAACTAGAGTGATTTTACATCAGTGAACAACCTAGAAAGAGTCTCTGTACTAGAAAAGAGAGAACTAAGTATTTTGGTTAGCATATTGCTCTACATCTTTAAACCCTAGAAAAAAGGAAAACACGTGGAATGCTTTATACATTTGAATCTTTGGTGATACTTCTCGTTATTAGGCACTTGTGTATGAGAAACCTCCCCTTATGGCCTTCCCAGCTCTGTTTGTCAGAGTTTTTAACACCAGTTACTCCATTTTGATTCTGACAACTTTCCTATTATCTTAGATTAAATAACTGAATTAAACTTTTTAGTTTTGGTAATAATTATTATTAATATTATTACACCAAAGAAGGTCAAAGCAGGAAAATTTTAGCATTTGAAAGAGACCTAATAACACTAGAATCTAATGGCTCAAATTTGTAGGCTGCATATATGTTAACTTGTTTCAAAAATTTTAGATACTATATTGCACCACACTGTGATGGATAGTTTTATGTGTCAACTTGACTGGGCTATTAGCGCCAGTTACTTAATTAAATACTTATCTAGGTATGAAGCTATTTTATAGATATGGATAACATCTACACTCAGTTGTCTTGTAGGCCTCATTCAATAAATTTGAAGACCTTAAGAGCACAATTAAGTTTCCTGGTGGGGGGGGAAAAAGAAATTCTTTCTCAAAGTTTCAGCAACTCTGGCCTCAGTTTCTAAGCTATTAACTTGCCCTATGGATTTTGGACTTATCAACCCCCATCATTGCATGATTCAGTTCCTTAAATTAAATAAAGCTCTATAGATAGATAGATGGATAGGGAAGATGGAGAGAGAGAAAAAAAGAGAGAGACAGAGACAGAGAGAAAGAGAGATATCCTATTGGTGCTGTTTCTCTGGAGAACTCTGACTGATACACCCATGGAGGGCTAAGGGAATATTATCTTTTATTGCAACATTAATTTAATCTAATTCATAATAACACCCTCGGGATATTTTTAAATTAAAAAGATATTAGTATTTAAGATGTTATCACCATTTATGGTTTTTCATTTTTTTTCTAACAAAAATCCTGTTGGACAATCTGTAAACATAATTGTATTAATTCACTTTTCATCATTTATTTATGATTTATCACTATTTGGAACACACATTTAATTTAAGAACAGAGTTGATACTTGTTCTTCTAGATTAATTTATAGTCAATTGTAGTATTTTGTACTATATTGCATCCTGAACTTAAATATAGCTGTTTCCCCCCAAATTTCTTTGTTGTAAAATATTGCTTGGCACTTTGACCTCAAAAGAGCCAGTGTCATATGCTGTAGTACTGGAGTTCATATTCTGAGTAAAACTTATGTTTGCAGAATAAAATGAAATACAGTGTTTAAAGAAGAGATACAGGTTAAATCCTTCCAGCTACGGTGCATCAAAAACTAATTTTTGTTTGATCAACGAATAAGCTTCAGAAACATAATTACCTACAAATAATTCAAATAATTAAGAAAAGTTTCCTTATTTAACTGAGGCTAAGACATAGCTGTAGTAGATATTTAAGGTTAATGAGCACAGAATATTATAACCATAGGCCAAGTGTTAAAGCTATTAATCACTGCCAGTAGAGAACACCATCTAAAATAGAATTTCATCTTCGGTTATCATCAAATTATTCAGTATCATTCAACATATGTCCAACTGTTTATAGCTGCTAAATTTATTTGATCATCTATCATTAGAATTTTATTTAAAAAGATAGATTACCCTACCCATGAAATCTTGCACAATATCAAGTCAAAATGTTTTGATTTTGAGTATTCGTAAACATAAAATGCATTGATTTGTTGCAAACATAATTAAAACCTTCTGGTCTCAGACTAAATGTCCTTCCATTTGTATAAAATCTTTCCAAAAAGTAGAGAATGTCTTCAACTTGATTCAACACATGTAAAAAATATATATATATACATTTAATGTATTTGTTTGTGGTTTTAATTTTAAAAATAGCATGGCCAGTCAATATTTATATGTTTATGGTATTGTGCTATTAAACTCTTAATGCTTTTCTGAACATATTTCATAATCACATCAGAGAGAATTAATCAGTAGTACATTTTTCTCATAACCAGTGACAATGGGCTGATTATTGATCATATTCCAGGTTTTGGCAATTTAATTTGATTATTATTTTAGGTATCGCCCTCACAATCTGTCCAAAATTCAGATGCCGTCTGAAAGAAAGAACTGTGATTGCATTTTAGTTAAATAAAAACACGTTTGTTTTCTGCATGAATCAATGTTTTAATAAACCAACAGAGGTCTCATAGCATCAAAAGCACTACACAATTAGTTACAAGGCCTATAATAACTAGAATTTCGTATTTTCTATTTGTATTCTAGCAAGTTTTACGGCAATTCCTATGTTGACCATATCAAAAAAAATGATAGAAATATTCTACTTTTGTCAAAAGGTTCAGGTCTTAAAAGGTAAGTCAAATTGCACATTAAATATGTGCGGTTTTTTGTATATCAATTATACCTCAATACAACTGCTAAAAATAAAAGATTTGAGTCAATTTTATCCATGTAGGCATGACACAGAATGGATTTCTGCCTCTATAAATGCCATCAAAAAAGAAAAGCTGAAGAGTCACTGCATATTTGTTCCCTGCTGGAGAGTTAGTGTTTTGCTACAAAGTTGTTTTCCTTTGTTGTCCTAGTATTCCAATCTCACACCTATTTGGTCTTTGGAGCAGAAAAGAAAAAAGAGAAAAAGAGAGGTCTCTATCCACACCTGTCAATATTTGTCTATCTACCTTCCTGCCTACCCATCTATGCATTAACTAATCTGCAAGATGGTAGGAATAAAACGGTATCCCAGCTATGTAAAGAAGACAAAAAATGATCGTTCTTTAGCTTCATAAAGGCAATATATCTTACGTTACTCTCACATTCCTTTTCCTATTGAAATTGGTTGTTATGCTGTACATGCATGAGAAAAGAGAATAGGTCACTGTTTTCTCTAATCCATCTTGATTCCACAATGTGTAATACTTTTGTAAATTATAAATCTGGCCAATGCAATTCAATAAATGTGAGTGATTAAAATTCTTAACATTTTAGTAACGAGTTCAATTTTATGTCAAGGTAGCAGAAATAAAATGACTTCGAAGAGACCATATTGTCCCCCACAAACTATAAGATTATGGGAGCAATAATGAATAAAGTTATGAAAAGTATCTTTTCATTTTCCATTAATTTTCTTTTGACAAATTGAAGCTATGAGTTCATTAATTTCCTGATATAAAGTGTTAGTTGTAGGAGAACAGAGAGAATTTCTTAAAAATGCAAAGAATTTGATAAAGTTTTCACAGAAATATTCAGTGAAAATCTATGAGAGTATCCTACCAATACAGGAAGGCAGAGGATAGTCCCATGCCCTTCTCTCCCCTGTCATGCACTTGAGAAGGCTACTTCCATGGAGAGTGTAGCCTGGATTGCATCCGTAAATGATGGTGCTACCAGCAAAGTGGCCTTGGTCACTGATCTTGTATCCAAATTGTGGAATGCCAGGATCTTCACAGTGTGAGAGTTCAAAACCTGGGAGAAAAATATAAATTGATTAAAGGCAAAATTTAGGAGGAGAATTTAAATCTATACAATCATTCCTTTCCTTTATTATTTTTGATGATTGCATACTTATTCCTAGTCATATTACCTATCATACAACAACCACACAGACCTTTTTTTGTTGAAAATTAAAATTTGTTGTGTTTTTGAAGTTTATCAGTGATACCCCATAGTCTATATAATTACATGGCTTGTGGTATTAAGCTTCCTGTCTGTTTCAAGTGATTTAGAATTGATAGTAGATTCTGAGTGATACTGTGATATAAGAAGAAGTGTATATTTGTCCTTTATCCTTGATTCCTGGCACAGAGCTCCTAAAACTCTTGGAATTTCTTGAGTGATAAGGGTGAGAGTACAGTTTTTGCTATTTATAATAAGTCATCCATACCTGAGTTTCTAAAATGAAGTTCTTCCTGGAGGATGGGGGCTGATCGCCAGAGAAACCCACCATATGATTAGAAGGTTGTGTTGGAACTTTTCATAGCCAGGTCATATACATACATCTCCATGGAGGGGAGAAGAACTGAAGGTTGAGTCAATTACTGAGGATCAATGATTTAATCAATTATGCCTATGTAATAAAATATCCGTAACAATCTTAGACAGAGGGGTTCTAAGAGTTTTCAGGTTCATGAACACCTCCATGTGCTAGAAGGGTGATATACCCCAAATCCTCACTCTGTGGGGACAGAAGCTCCTGCACTTGGGACACTTCTGGACCTCAGCTATATACCTCTTCCTTTGGTAGCTCTCCGTTTGTATCCTTTATAATAAACCAATAAAGGTAAGTAAATGTTTCTCTGAGTTTTGTGAGTATTCTAGCAAATTATCATACTCAAGGAGGAAGTTATGGGAATCCCCAATTTGTAGCTGATCAGTCAGAAATACAAGAGGCCCAGATTTCAGTTAGCATCTGAAGTGTTGACATTCTTGTGGGATTGAGCCCCTAAACTGTGGGGTCTACGCTAACTGCAAGTAGTGTTAGAATTGAATTGAATTACCAGACATCAAGTTGGTTTCAAGGGTTGGCTCTCAGAATAGTACACCCCAAAGTATGCACTTTGGCATGTTGAGTGCTTTGAACGAAAAGAGATTAGAAGACCTCAGAAGCAATGTCTCTCTGACCTTCTGCACTCCTGCCCCTTGCCCCTTTCTCTCTCCCAAAGCTAGTCATACAAGCCAGAATTCTTCTTCTCCAAGGTGAATCATAAAAACTAGAAAACTTCTCCACCAAAGTGAACCACAGAACCTAGAAAGGTCACTTTCTTCCTTCTCTCTTGAAAACCCTCGTTCCATAGGGATCCTCTCCCATACCCTGGAAAGGAAAGCTACATAAAGAGGTCAAGAAGAATTTGAATAAATAGGCTTACTGGGTTTCCCCTTCTCAATCTATTACTGACAGATTATATCTTTTACGACCAGTTACATTTCTATATAGCTGTCCATTCATCACTGAATCACAGCATACAAACAGACAGTTTTACAGGGTTCTTTAGGTCTTTATTTCTAAAGGCTCCCATGTCATAGAAAACCACGATTCAATAAATTTGTTATGCTTTTCTCTTGTTAACTTATCTGTTGTTATAGGAATATCAGTATGACACGTATGAGGGTGACCAAAGGCATCACAGCTTTCTATCCCTTTCTATCCCACAACTTTCTAACCCAGAGAGTTGGATAATTGGTTAGTGTGCGGAAGAAACATACATATATGGTGTCAGAAGGGTTGTGAGCAGAGAATTGGGTTTTGCATCACTGATCAAATAACTACTAAGATCATATCATCAAAATTTTAAAATTAAGACAAAATATGTGAAATAATAACTAGCCAAGTAATAAATATGTCAATTGCAAATATAACCAGACTGCTTTAGTTGTATAACCTTAGAAGAAAGTGAATACTCTCATATTTAAAATATACTTTATTGAGCTAATATACTAATCAGCTTGATGAACTCTAAATTTTTACATTCTACTTTCTCCAGAAAAAGCATAATTCTTAGAAATTCTCACAGGAAAAAAATAGAACAAAATAGAGACTTCCCACATGTTGTCATTCTGAGATGTAGAGATAATATTTTTGTGTTTCTACAGGGTTAGGGCTTTCTGAATGAATTTGCTAAAAACTGAGATCCTGGACTAACAGCAACACTTGAGAAGTTAATTTACAACTGTATGAATAGTGAGAAAACTCCAGAGAAATTTACTTAACTGTGAGGAAGGTTTATGTTTACATTTCAATGAAGAATGAGGCCCAGAAATTTACAGAAATCTCTAGGTTATAAAAGTTGGAGATATGGGAGATTAATATGTCCCTTAGATAGGTACATTTACATTACAAAAGGTTAGAGTAAAAATGCCTGATCCTTTCCATATAGTCTCCAAGGAGCATACTTTTTTCTCCCACTTTCCAGGAGAGGAGAAGGAGAAAGCAGCAGAATAAACTCATTTACTTTTCTTCCTTTGTCTATGAAGTCCCTAGCCACTTCTGTAGATTTTTTCATTAGGTATTCATCATGTTGCCACAGGAGTAAGGACTGGGTAAAAGGAGAGCTGACACAAACATCATCATCATCATTATATTACTTAATAAGGATCTACCTTCATACTGAATATCTCATTTGCATATTCAAGGTAAAATTAATAAAGGTGAATGTTAAAAACCCCAATAGTCACAACACAACATGATTAAGATTCTGAAGGAACTAGAAAAGGACACTTCAAAAGATAAACCAAACCCGGTATGAATAAATCATAATCTAAGCTGCCCTAGCTATATAGTTTCTTCTGTTTTTAGTATTTTACAAAATATAAAAATGCAGGGTAAATGATGCCATAAATGCACCAAGGACAATTAGGTGAAAACTTATATCAGTTACAACTTCTGAGATTAGAAAACCTTTAAGAATATTCTAGATAGTTTTATGAATGAGGAAAATCACTTAAGACAAAAATGTGGGAGAAAAAACTTTTTCTTGTGTCCTAAATTATATGGTGATCAAAAAGGGATCTACATCACTTTTATAGACATAGATTCTTGACCAAATTAATCTAGATTTGAATTAGAAAGCAAAAAAGTGTATATTAGCTCACTTGTGTTAAATCACTAATTTGCATCATTGACTTTCTAGATTGTCACAACATAAAGTCACAAGAATTTGTATAGTTCTAAGAACTAAGTTTATCCTATTATTTCTGTGATTTGAGAGAAACATTATTTCTCAGAGAACATTAGGAGTCTTTCCTAGTCTCTGTTAAGGGGTCTTAGTCACTTCCTCCTCTGTTAAACCATAGAATTATTTGTACATTTGAATTCATTTGCAATGATTTGTTTATTTTCCTTGTTTTCGTATAGTTGAAATTCTTTCCTTTTTTCCCCCTCCCTCTCACAGTACCTATCTAGCACAAATCCTGGCACAGGTTAGATGTTCGGTAATGCTCAATAATGTTCATTAGTGAATGTGGATTCTTAGATACAATTATTTCTAGGACACAACTGAAAAATAAAGCAATGCTGATAAGAAACTGGAATTTGAGAGACAATTTTTAAAAACAGTTTCAAGAATTTCCTGAATGTCTCAATTTATGACAGCCGCATCTGGGTGAACATGCAAATCGCTTCAGAGACATAGCCATAAAGAGGTTAGCAGTCATTAACTGAAATCATGACATATATAATCAAATGTAAAGAAAAACTAGTCAACCAGGTCAATATCTCAAACACAGAAGAAACAGCAGAAGTAGTAACTTTAAAATTTCAGGACATATTACTTTGCATGGATCTGCATACTTAATATTACATTTAAAATGTCTTTGCTTAAAAATTACAAGTTTGCATTTCTTCTAGCAGACATAATATTCAGTTTATCATTCAAGATGCAATGTATTTTGAGTTTTACCGTATATCATTTCTCAAAATAAAAATGGAAATTAAGCTCTGTTTTCAAGGTTTATTGCCAAATTCATCCTTCCTTAAATCTTGAATTTTCTGTAAATGTGGTTGTGAATTGCTGGTGATGAGGTAAAATGAATATATTCTTTGAACATTAAGATAATTTATAATATTTTGCATTATAGCTGAAAATGCACATGGACAATAGTATCTAAGCCACAAAGCACAACATAATTTAGTTCAAATTGGTGGAATTATTGTTGCTTATTCATAAATATGCAGAAATGTCTTATCTTTATGGAAACATTCAGCTGCTAGTCTTTTCATTGAAAAGCTCAAATACTTGAAACTGACAATTAAATAAAGATGTGTATGAAAAATCATATATGTTATAAATATTCACCACTGCTTGTGAAATTTTATACTCTGATGAAATGAAAATTTCTAGAACACAAATGAACTGATAATCCTCATTACCTAGATCTTTTTGATTTTCTGAATACCTTAAACTGAGATTTCATTCCTTTCCTGCCACCATGTAGCATGTCTCCAAAGATATCTAATTTATTTGTAAGTTATTATTTGAAATCTACAAAAAAGGATAACAACAAATTCATCTACTAGCTCTATCAGATTCTATTTTTGTATCATAGTTGTGTCAGATTCATATCAATGTTAATTCAGATTAATATTCAGATTATCATTCATATTAATTCATTTTCACATTATTATTATTACAAAAGAAGTTAAAGATTCTTTTGTATTCTTCCCCAGTCTCTTTCTGTTTTTTCCCCACTGACAGCTAGCAAATATTCTAATTGAGTTTATTATTCTTGCACATATATTTTTATTACATATCTATACATCGATGAGCAACATACAGTGTTTTGCAAATGTCCACACATTTTATAAATAATATAATGGTTTTAAAAATTCTGTGGCTTCATATTTATTGCCCGATACTGCATTTTATCTTTAAAATTATATACCCATGCATGCACACGCATGCACGCACACACATGCACACACATTTTATTTATTTTAACTACTCTGTGGTATTCCATTGGTGACATATTCC